ACGGCGCGGGGACCCCGGCACGGTGACCCCGGCACGGCGCGGGGACCCGGCCCCCTCCTGTCCCCATGCCCAGGGTGATGGGAGGAGCCACTGCCAGCTGCTATTTCTGAGCTGTTTCAGCAATTTAGGGTTGTCACTGCTGTTAGGATGAAAGTTAAGGACTTCCATCCCAGAACCGTGTATGATCAGAAACAAGAGGAGACTTTTACAGAAACTGTAGCGCAGAAATGGCCGAAGTTTCTGCAAAATGCAGGAATTGTGAGTGCTGTCTCGTTTTCGGCTCGGGTCTAAGGAAACTGCTGCAGCACCTACACATCTGGAGAGCTGGTATCACACAGGCACAGAAGAAATAACTGGTTTCTAACGGGCAGCACTGGTGCTCAGGGGGGCTCCAGCCTCCCCTCTACGCTCTCTGTTCCAGTTGCTTATCCAAGCTAGTCGGGCGAGGAGGCGCTGGGGAGAAGGGGACAGTAAACACATTCAACCATTTAAAAAAAAAAAAAATTAAAAGGAAAAAAAGTATTTCAAGTAAAGTTAATAAACTGAAAGAGAAACTGAAAGTTAGAGACAGCCCAAGTCCCCTATCGCCGCACACAGCGCAAGCTGGATTTTTGTGTTATTTAGGTACAGCTCCTCTTCCAAGTAGCTGCTTAGAAACTTTGCTTGAACGACCCAGCAGCAAAACCCTTCAGCTGGCCTTTGAAAGCCATCGAGCAGAAACGCAGAAGCTGGGGTTAGCACACAGTTAAAAATGAAGCACACGGACACGGGAAGGCGAGTCATTTCCCACAAAAAGCACCGCTCACATCGCACACACTCCTGCGCCCGTCGTTCTGCTCTCCCCGTTAGGTGCAAGCCTCACCACTGCCTGTTCTGCAGGACTGCTCCATCTATTCACCCACAGGTGGATCAACCCAAGCAGCGTGGAGCTGCCCTAATGTTTCTCCTGGCTCATTTATCCGCTGCTTCTACAACTTCAGCAAAGCCTGGCAGAGATTTCCGAGACCTCCGCAGCTCCGAGCAGCTTTGGGAACGCTCAGCCGCTGGCACGGGCAACGCCTCTGGCATCACTCGTTAGCAGCTCGGGCATCACCACGTTCTTCTGGCAGAAAGCACAGCCTGAGAGCACGGGCTGCGAGAGAAACGCAACACCTACTCGCCTGCTCGTGAAAGAGGCAGAAAACTTCCCAAAGTTTGTTAAAATGCCATTTTTAATTATTCAAATGGCAAGTTAAATAAGCACGTGTTGTCCTTGCAGCTATTTGAGAACACCACGGTTTGTAACTCTGAAAGCCTTTTGTCCCTGGGGACTGCAGGCACGCGCCGAGCTGCGGCGCCTCGACCTGCTGCTCCTTCCAGCCCTGGAGCTCTACGTGTCTGCTGCAACGTGCTCCTCTGCAAACAAAACAGCTATGAGGCGTGCTCACCGCTGGGAATTTCTCTTTTTGTCTCTGATCTCACCCAGAAATCACAGCAAAGCCTTGCCAGCTTGCACAGTGACCGGGAAAATGAACTGAAATGGGTGAATTCTAGAAAATAATTAGTAAAAACTTATGATTCAAAACAGAAAGCAAATTTCGGGAGGAAAACCACAACTATTTTGTAAAAAAAAAAAAAAACAAACGCATTTCAGAAACACACCAACCATTATTTTATGGAATATTACAGCATGTAAGTAAAATATTTGTTAGTGCTGTTGTGAGAAAGTCTCAGGAGAGTTGACCACTACTCCACCCAACAGGCAGTGACTCTCGCAGCGTGCGCGGGAGCGAACTGCGGTCAGCGAGGCTTTCCTGGAGTCCCATCTCGACCACAGCAGGAACTTTCCTTTTAAAATGTAAAAAAAAAGTCCTATTTGCAGAAAGAGCTCACAAACAGGTGGAATGGCAGAAGCTCAAGGACACGACACCGAAGACCATATTTGCTTTTGAGTGGTTTGGGACTGACGGCGTTGACCGCGTGCCAACTTTCGCAAAGGACCATTCATTCAACCTCAAATTCGGGTTTTTGAAATGTAATTTCCAGGATCTGTTTTAACTGATTGTGAAAAGATGAGCTTTTCCAGTCCAACGGTCCAACAGCTCTTTTTTTTCCAGCCCGGCATGGAGTAATTACCGGGAGAAACTACTTGTCAGGTGGATGTTTGGAACCCTGAGGTGGCGACCATCATACGTACCCTCTGACTGCAGGTCTAAATACTCTGAGCAATACCCACAGCAAGAGAGGCAGAAACAGAAAGAAAGCAAAGAAAGGAAGAAAAAGAAAACAGTAAAGATTGCTGAAAAAACAGACAAAAGGGTTAACTTTGCAACCGTACCCTCACGCCGTGTTCCTGCAGGAACGTTTCAAAAGCTACTTCAAAGAATATCATCACTGAATCATTTTCCCCGTAAAATTTAGATCAATACACAAAAAAGCAGGAGATTCTGTTCACCGTCAAAAGCACCTTTCTCAAGCCTAACACACACATTCTGAAGTTACCAAAGAGCAAGATGTGGCAATACTGGGAGCTCTTCAGTCTGAGAACTTCTGCAAAACTACTCATCTTTTCACAAGAAGCCACCACATAGAATCAGACATGGAAAAGGAAGTTAGCTAAATACATTTAAAGTAGAAAAGTTGCTTAAATACAACTGAAACACCTTCTTTGAGTATGATTTTTAAACTACTAATACAGCTACTTTAAGCACAAGTGCCATGAGGGACGTTCTACTAAGCCTCACAGGGACGAGTGATTAACTTTCCAATTGATTTTGGAACTTTCGATTTTGGAGTTGGAATTCTGAGGCAGTACGGGCAGGCAGAGCAGTCAGCAGTTCAGATGATGACCACGGAGGGCTGGAGGCAGGTGCTGTAACATCTGGACCTTCCATGACCATGATGGCAGAATCCCCAGAGTCCTTGGGCAGCTCCAAGGAGTATGAAGGATCTCCACTGCAGATTTCAGTACTGCAGGGAGGGGAACAAGGAGAGGGAAGACCCATTTCTGCAGAAACAGGAACGCAGCGTGGCTGAAGTTTAGCACTTCTAGGGAAGCACTTTAGAAAGTCATCGAGAACCACATATTCAACCTGAAAAACTCTCCAACTTTTAGTATAGCTCATTTCCTTGGAATCATTACGGAATATGGTAAGAAACGACCATATTCACCACTGGCCATTGGAGCTTAACTGCATCTGTTGCAAGAAAAGGCCGACTGGTTTGGGAGAGCTGAGGATAGCAGGAAGCTTCCATGATTGTCACTGGTCAACAAGGCAACTCGTACACTGGGAGAAACCACTGAACAGATCTGGGGCAGCTGAAATCATCTACGTAACAGGTTTCTGTCTTCCCACAGCTTCTATTTTCGTTTTTGGCTACGGTTATAGTTGTGGACAGCTACAGACACCTTTAAAGTGGAGACTGTGGTTATCCAAGGATTTACTTTCTTTCCCAAAATGGAACTAGCTCTGTAGAACTGCCGTCACGCGAAACCAAGCAGGTTTGGGTTTGGAAGCCTTGTCCTTAGTGAAAGTGCTTGAGACACACACACTGATTTAGAGAGAAAAAACACATTCAGAATGACACTGCCTGAAACAGCAGCACAGCCCACAGCACCTAACCAGCCAAATCAGAAAAAAAACCATTTCCCCACCTGCTAGGAAATACATGGAAGATCCAAGAACATGCCAAAGAAGATGTACACTGCTACTGTGAATCAAGAGAGACACGTGTGTGATACCACTCTGCTCACCAAACTCTGCACTCAGAGAGGAAAAACATCTGGAGCACAGAGTTTGTTTTAGCTACACATGCCGATGGATTTAACTAGACATAATTCCAGTGCAATGAAAACTGGAAAAGGAGACGCTGCTGCCTTCAGCACAGCAGGCAGTATTCCTGCTTTCCTTGGCTTTCATTTTTCATAGATTTCATAGATTTCTAGGTTGGAAAAGACCTCAGAGATCATCGAGTCCAACCGTCCCTAATCCCCATTAAACCATATCCCTAAGTAGATCATCCACCCTTTTCTTAAACACATCCAGGGATGGGGACTCAACCACCTCCCTGGGCAGCCTTTTGGTGAAGCCCGTCTGCTCGGCCGTGCCACCCCAGTGCAAACTGACCCAACTCATCAAAAGAGCTCTTCAGAGGCAATGGCTGTGAGCAAAGCCACCGCCGGCACCGCGCTCCTCCCGGGCACGGAGTAACGGCCGTCTGAGGTGAACATGGAAAATGAAAACCCATCGCAGGGACGAGAGGGAACGGCCTCAAGTTGCGCCAGGGGACATTTAGGTTGGATATCAGGAAAAATTTCTTTCCAGAGAGGGTTGTGAAGTGTTGGAACAGGCTGCCCAGGGAGGTGGTGGAGTCCCCATCCCTGGAGGTGTTTAAAAAACGTGTGGATTTGGTGTT